CTAGTGCCTTTTCCTGCCTTTTTCGCTATTTTATTTTGCCTTTTCCAGCCTATTTCGTTAGTTTATTTTGCCTTTTTTATAGGTTTTTAGGTCCTTAAAATCCGTTCCCTGGTAATAAATAATAATTAGAAACTTAAATAAAGATTTTGACGCTAATAAGAGTAATGTGTGACGCTAATAAGAGTAATGTGATGTACTATATCCACGGAATAGTTCACACAAAGAGAAGCAATCCAGAACGTAGATACTGAAGACCACCCAGATTGAGAAGTGTCTATATCATTCTAGAATCTAGATGAAAGGTCCAGCTACGGTTTCAAAACACCATGTTAATGCCGTACAAACTGATATTTTTATGCAAAAAATATGTTAAAATGGAAAATTAGTAAAAAAGATTTTTCACAAATAATACTTCACGGACTCACCGACAAATGCATACAAAAATCTTAATAAAGGTAGCCAATGCAGTAACCAATTAAAAACGACAGTCAATGCCGTACAATTCGATGTATTGAGGCAAAAACACTTTTCAAAATGGTGAAATTAGTAAAAAAGATTTTTCACAAATAATACTTCACGGACTCACCGACAAATGCATACAAAAATCTTAATAAAGGTAGCCAATGCAGTAACCAATTAAAAACGACAGTCAATGCCGTACAATTCGATGTATTGAGGCAAAAACACTTTTCAAAATGGTGAAATTAGTAAAAAAGATTTTTCACAAATAATACTTCACGGACTCACCGACAAATGCATACAAAAATCTTAATAAAGGTAGCCAATGCAGTAACCAATTAAAAACGACAGTCAATGCCGTACAATTCGATGTATTGAGGCAAAAACACTTTTCAAAATGGTGAAATTAGTAAAAAAGATTTTTCACAAATAATACTTCACGGACTCACCGACAAATGCATACAAAAATCTTAATAAAGGTAGCCAATGCAGTAACCAATTAAAAACGACAGTCAATGCCGTACAATTCGATGTATTGAGGCAAAAACACTTTTCAAAATGGTGAAATTAGTAAAAAAGATTTTGCACAAAGAATACTTTTCAAGGACTCACCGACGGATGCATACAAATCTTGATAATTTTATGAAGAGATGAAATTAGATACATGAAATCAGCAACGTGAAAACGCAACTCGTGATATTAATGGCAGCCCTGCCAGATGTACGGATTTTTCTGTACGGTACGGATTTTCAGGGGTGAAAATGGTTGTACGGATTCAACGTACGGATTTTAGCTTTCCGTCAAGATGTACGGATTTTCCCAGTGTTTTTTTCATATTGTAAAAATTTGCCTGTTTTACACATATCTCATAGGTTTCTTATTGTTCCTGAACCCTCCATTTTTTTTTATTAAAAAATCCGCTTTTTTGGTACTTAAGGAACTTATCTATTAACAGCTTGACTATTTTTCACCCGATTTTACAATCAATCATGCGAAGAGGATTTATAGGCCTTTAAAATTAGGTATAACAATCTATTGGTAGAATTCGATTGTTGGCAGTTTTTGTCGCGTAAAATCAAAAAAACCCTAACTTTCTTTCTAACGTTAACCATCGCTTCAAACATTATACTGTTACTCGGTAGGGTCGACAACCCACCTGAAAAGTTTTGTTACATGTACATAAACTAGAACACACTGCTTGTTAAAAAGCTCTAGTCAGAAAAGTACTAAGGTTGTCTGTGAAGCAATCAATAAATAGGACTAGTGGTAATATGTGTTTCTTTATTTTATGTTATTAAAAGTACGATTCCTGTATTCACCTAAGCACAAACGATTTTTTTTGCTCGCCAAACAAATTTGAGCGTACGGATTTCGTGCGGATTTTCCACCCACCACTTTTTGTCTTCGTGCGGATTTTAGACTTTAAACGTCTGGCAGCTCTGATTAATGGTCATAAGGTTTAAATAAATAAATTTAAATATGGGAGGTTTATAAAGATTACTCGATTATACCTTTTGCCTTTGAAGCGCTTATTTAAATAATTTATACGGAAACGCATCCTGCACTTAAAAAATAGCCTTTTCACATTTATTAGAAGGTCTATTTCATGGCTGTTGGATAAAAATTTTTCGGAGAAGTTGGTGGTGCCAGAAATGATTTCGCCATTAAATATTTGAAGTATCTAAAGCAGGGATCACACGATTTGTACATTTGTACACAAAATGCCAAATTTAGATTTGTCCACATTTGCGCATTTGGATAGCGATGTACAAATGATTTGTTTTGCGATCAGACGATTTGGCTGCCAAAGTCCCAATTGATTTGGCACACATTTGCGCACAGCAGTAAAGTAACAAATATTGTCCACATTCATTCACACGATTTGACCATTTGGTCATAAATACATAAACAGCTGATCCGGTATCAACCATACTTTTGTATTTATGATTTCGTGAGATTTGAAGTGAAATAAACAAAAATAATATATACGCACAGGTACTCAGAATTTTGAATACATCCTCAAAATCTAGGCTGAAGGTAAAAAACGCGTTTTTCATAGGTTGAAGCATA